GAGAGAGAGAGAGAGAGAGAGAGAGAGAGAGAGAGAGAGAGAGAGAGAGAGAGAGGCTACACACGCGTTTGGTGTATTATTAGCACTTACTACGTAAACGCACCCTTTTCTAAAGACATTTCAGCTCCTCAGCTTCTCCGCGGACGCTGCGCTACATATTTCTTCTTTTTTCAATGGGACCCTGGAGGGGCAAGAGGCGGAGGGGGGTGAGAGCGGAAGAAATCGGTGTTCGCCGTCGCACCGCACTGACCAAAGCGTGTTTTCTCGTCCGGTTCGGTACACACACGGAAATCAATCTGTATCGCTACGGCGAATATCCGTTAGCGCGCTACCGTGAGGAGCGCGAACTTGGCGCGAGAGAGCAAGAGAGAAAGAGAGAGAAAGAGCCCCGTTTAATACTCGGGGAGTGCGCGAGCGAGCCACCCCCTGGGAACGTGCACATGTCGTGATCGCGGTACATCTCGCGGCTTTTCGACGACGCCGGGCGCAGGGCGATATGACGTGGCCCGATATCGAATGGTCCACTTTTCGCATCGCTAAGCTTCCGGCTTGCGTGCCGTGGTCGATATTTATTGCGCCTCGGCGGAGGCCGAGGCGGCTCGACTCCGCTCCCCGAAGAAATCGACTGGATCGCGCGCGCGTCGCGTCCCTCGCGAACGGCCAGCTGTTAATCGCTCCCGAGGAGGAAGCGCACTCTCTCTCTCTCCCGCCGTCGTTCCCGCCGTCGGGTAAAAATCGCCTCTTCCTCCCCCTACTCTTCTCTCCCCGGCTCTCGATCGACCTACGCCGATTTAACGGCCACGAAGGAGGGACGACGCTCGGAGGAGCAGCACCACGACGTCGTCGTCGTCGTTCCTGGAAGTGGTGTCGCGCCGTCGGCGATCGTTTGTTCTCGAAGACACGGACATGGTTATCGTCGCAGTTGTCGTCGTCATCGTACGCACCCGACGTCGACGAGCGATTCACGGTGTTCCCGCGAAGGATACTCTCTCTTTCTCTCTCTTTCTCCCGGCGATCGCGTCACGAGAAGAAGGGAGAGCGACTAAGGGGGAGAAGAAGGCGCGCACGACGGGGTACGACTCGGGCACGTCCGCGAGAATTTTCCTCTCTCGTTTCTCCCCTACCCTTCCTTCCTTCCTGCCAGCCTGTCTGCCAGCCAGCCAGCCAGCCAGCCAGCCAGCCAGCCAGCCAGCCTGCCTGCCTGCTTGCCTGCCTGCCTGTCTGTCTGCCTGCTTGCCTTCCTTTACCCCGCTCGTACGACCATCGGACGCCGCGGCACAAGCAATGTCGAAATATCACAAACTATTTACTCACTCGACGAGTCAGGGCAGTGGAGCTTCATGAACGCGTCTCGCAGTATGTATCAGGCCATCGGAGCACGGCCGAGCTCGCGGCCCTTCTTCCGCAGCTTCGAGTCTAAAGCCACCGTCCGCACCGATACGCCGTTAAGGCAGCACCGCGCGCGCACACCCGCGCTACACCACCAGCAGCAACCGCCGCTATCGCCGCCGCCGCCTCCACCGCCGCCGCCGCTACCGCCGTCGCTGCTACGCCGAGCATATTTCCGCGGGGGTGGGAGAGGTAGGAGGAAGGGATGGAAGCGTACGTGCAAGAAAGACAGAACGTGGTACCGAGTGGGGAGAACGCGAGCAAAGCGTTTGCGCGAGAGAGTGGAGTTACGCGGGCGACGGAGAGGTAGCGCGGGAAACATGCGCGCGCGAAAGGGAAGAGAGCGCGGTGGTTACGGGAGGAAGAGCTCGCGAGGGGTCGAGAGAAGCGAGAGGAAGCCGGAGAGAGCGATGTGGAAGGGAGTGGTTGGGGAACGCGTGGTGCACCAGGCCCCTCCGCCGATGTAGGTGTGTGTGGGTGTCGTGTGTATGCATGCGGTAGGTTATTGGGTAACGCACACATGCACACTCCTCCCCTCTCCTTCTCTCTCTCCCTCTCTCTCTCTCTCTCTCTCTTTCTCTCTCATGAAAGGGTGTATGCGTATCCGATTCTGGGTATACCTCCTACTTGCGTTCTCCCTCGTCACAGGGTTCGCGCGACGAGTCACGGCTGTTCGGTATATACAAGCGCGCAGAGCCGTGCGTACGTGCGTACGTACGTTTGCGCGTGTATCGACGGGTCGGAGGGCGAAAACGAGGAGGGTGGAAGATCCGAAGATGTGTGTCCTCCTCTCTTCCTCTGCCTTTTCTGGCCCGCTCTCTCGGTTGTCTCTTCCCGTCGATGACGAGAGAGCGTACGTAAACCGCGGACGTGTCATCCTCTCTCGCGACCGTACTCTCCGCCGTTCCCCGCATTCGGCCGCACCCTCTTCTCCGCTGGACGCCCCGGTCATCCTGTCCGCCTGCCTTGGAGAGGGTTGCGCGGCCGATCGTCAGCGGAGATAGCCGAAGGCGAACGAACGAGCGAGCGGCTGGAAGGCGGGTGGTGAGGATCGAGGTCGGTCGGTCGGTTGGTCGGTCGGACGACGCGCGCTCTCTCTCTCTCTCTCTCTCTCTCTCTCTCTCTCTCTCTCTCTCTCTCTCTCTCTCTCTCTCTCTCTCTCT